TCCCATTTAACCTAAAAAATCTTCCTCTTTACCTCTCACCCCCCCATAGAAAACTCCTTTGAATAGAAATTAATTCAGCAACCATAGAATTTGGCATTAAAAATAGACATATAAAAGATTAGGAGAGCACAGAGTATTGAATTAAGCAAAGTGAGACAACCTCCAAAGGACAGTAGAATAGATTTCCAGACGACAAGCTTAGTACGAAGTTTATTTACAATTGGATCCCAAAACTTCTTACTCCTTGGGCTTCCCCCTATAGGCATACCCAAATAGATAAAAGAAATTTCTCTTACTCCACATCACAACACACCTGCTGCCCCTTTCAACCATCTCTCGGTCACATTAAACCCATAAACACTGCTTTTTCAAAAATTAATTCGGAGCCCTAACATCATCTCAAACCACCGTAAAATGGTTTTAACCATACTAATATTCTCACTCTCAGCTTTGCCTACAATTACTGTATTATCTGCAAATTGAAGCAAAGAGATAGACATCTCCCTCCATCCTATCCCCACTCCATGTAACAACCCCTCCCTTTCTGCTTTTTGCACCAAACCATGCAATCCTTCACCAATCATTAGAAATAGAAAATGTGATAAAAGGTCTCTTTGTCACAAACCTTTTCCCACTACAAACTCCTTCATTAGACTTCCATTTACTAAAACCGACAGCCTCGTTGTTGAGGGACATTCCATAATCCATCCTTGCCACTTAGTTCCAAACCCAAACCTATCCATTATCCAATCCAAAAATGACCAGTTAACACAATCATAGGCCTTTTCGAAATCTGCTTTGAAAATAAAATCTGTTGTTTTTTCCTTCAAACCTTATCCACAACTACATTGAGCACCAAAACACTATCAACCAATTGGTGACCTCTTAGAAATGCTAATTGAGTTTCATTAATCAAGGTTGACATTACTGCTTTAAGGCTATTAGTTAATACCTTTACCAACAATTTATACACACACACAATCAGACTAATAGGCCTATAATCCTTTAATTCCATAGGATTTAGCTTCTTAGGAATTAAAGAGAGAAAAGATGAATTCAACCCTTTTACCAACCTACCCGCCTGATAAAACTCCCCAACGAAACTAATAAAATCCTCCCTTAATGTAGTCCAAAATTTTTTTTTTTAAATTAAAATTGTACCCGTCAAGACCTGGAGCCTTGCTTCCATCACAGCTTTTCAAGCATTCGTCAATCTCCTCAGCAGTAAAAGGTCTTTCTAACCACTCCTTCTCTACCGAGATCTTATTAAAAGTAATTCCCGAAGGTGTTGGTCTATTCCAAGATTCCTCCTGAAACATCTTATGGAAATAGTTGGCCACCTATTTCTTTACTAAACATGGTTCCTCCACCCACTGGCCATCACACCAGATCTCGGAAATATTGTTCTGTGCCTTTCTCCTGTTTGCAACTTGATGAAAGTATCTCGTGTTATTATCTCAGACGAATCCAATCACTTCGAGGTTTCTGCTTCCATGTAGATTCCCTCTTCCTCATACTATCCCACATTTCCTAAAAACCTGCTCTTCTTAGATCTAACTGAAAATCCTCCATCTCATGCACCTCATTCCTCATATCAATCTGTTCCACCTTTGTTGTAGCCTTCTGAAACTTTGATTCCATTTCCCCAAACACTTCTGTATTCCAACCCTTTAAACACTCCTTCAGCATTTTTAACTTCTGTTTGCACTTATATCTAGCATACCCTTCCATTGTCATCTTCTTCCACTTCTCCTCAACCACACTTTTAAATTTAGGATGCTATTGCCATGCATCCAATACTCGAAAAGCCTTTGGCCCCCAATCCATTGTAGTTGTTTTCAAGATAATGGCACAATGATTTGACACTAGTGTTTTTAAAGTCGGACCGGATTGGTCGGTCCGACTGGTTGAACCACCACCTAGTTACTGAAACGGGTTGGGTGAACACTTAGATTCGTTTTGACGATCCAATTACCCAAACCGAAAAAACTGGGTGACCCGTCCAGCCCGGTATACCCGTCCAGCTCGGTAGACCCGATAAACCCGACGGGCGAATTCACTTGACACTGCAACTTCCCTTTTTTTTT